CTTTCAAAATGTAACTCAGGAAGTAAACTTGACGAATCGGCGAAGGTGCTGTCAGTCAACGGGAAACGGGCTTTGACCAATCTACGATACTCGCGCCCTTCAGGATGGTGACCTAGGAAATTAATTCTACAACCTGGCGATGATGCGAGAATCAGGAACGAATAGAGGGCCAGATGGGCAACCTCACTTCCAAGCCAAATCGCGACAGTGATCACGCATCATGCTCGTGGTCAAAAGAGCTGAATGACAAGAGGGCCCGAGGGGCAACCTCACCACAGAACCGATCCGCGTCGCGGATCATGCGTCACTCGCGCCACGCGGGCACTGCTCGTGGTCAGGAATCGGGAGTGATTCGAGGGCCCGACGGGCAACCTCACGACAGGGCTAGCACGTCTCGGTAATTGCCGCCGCCGCGGCAGCACGGGCCGGACCTCCTCCCCCTCTTCCTCCTCCACCTCCACCCCATCGTTTTCCCCTTCCTCGTCTTCAGTTTTGCGATAGTCGCGCCCGTCAAGATGGCGACATAGGAAATTAATTTCGAACCTGGCGATGGTGCAAGAATCGGAAATGATTAGAAGGCCCGATGGGTAACCTCACTTCCAAGCCAAATCGTGACAGTGATCATGCATCATGCTCGCGGTCAAAAGCGTTGAGTGACCAGGGGGCACGAGGGGCAACCTCACCTCTGAACCGATCCGCGTCGCGGATCATGCGTCACTCGCGCCGCGTGAGCACTGCTCGTGGTCAGGAATCGAGAGTGATTCGAGGGCCCGACGGGCAACCTCACGACAGGGCTAGCACGTCTCGGTGATTGCCGCCGCCGCTGCAGCACGGGCCGGACTTCCTCCCCCCTTCCTTTTCCACCTCCACCCCATCGTTTTCCCCTTCCTCGTCTTCCGCTTTGCGATACTCGCGCGTTTCAAAATGGCGACCCAAGAAATTAAATTCACAACCTGGCGATGGTGTAAGAATCGGGAATGATTAGCGGGCATGATGGGCAACCTCACTTCCAAGCCAAATCGCCACAGTGATCATTCATCATGCTCGTGGTCAAAATAACTGAGTGACAAGAGAGCCCGAGGGGCAACCTCACCTCTGAAACGACCCGCGTCAGTGGTGACAGTTTCCCAGAATGGCAGCCCCCCAGGGACGGCGAGGTCTAATCTGAATCTGGGTGGTGCCTCGCTCCGCGGGACTGACCAGCAGCCTTCGAAAGTGGTGACAGTTTCACAGATCGCAGCCCCCCCCAGGGATGGTGAGGTCTAATCTGAATCTGCGTGGTGCCTCACTCCGCTGGACCCACCAGCAGCCCCCGAAAGTGGTGACCGTTTCGCAGATCGCAGACCCCCAGGGATGGCGAGGTCTAGTCTGAATTTGCGTGGTGCCTCACTCCGCTGGACCCACCAGCAGCCCTCGAATGTGGCGACCGTTTCGCAGATCGCAGCCCCCCAGGGATGGCGAGGTCTAATCTGAATCTGCGTGGTGCCTCACCCCGCTGGACCCACCAGCGGCCCTCGAATGTGGCGACAGTTTCGCAAAACCACAGCCCCCGAAAAGGTGGCGCAGTGTCGCAGATCGCAGCCCCCCAGGATGGCGAGTCTAATCTGAATCCTGCGTTGTGGGCTCACATCCGCTGGACCCACCAGCAGCCACCGAAAGAGACATAACAGTTTTCGCAGATCGCAGCCCCCCAAGATGGCGGGTCTAATCTGAATCAGCGTGGTGCCTCACTCCGCTGGACCCACCAGCAGCCCTCGACTGTGGCGTCAGTGTCGCAGATCGCAGCCCCCCAGGGATGGCGAGGTCTAATCTGAATCTGCGTGGTGCCTCACTCCGCTGGACCCACCAGCAGCCCTCGAAAGTGACGACAGTTTCGCAGATCGCAGCCCCCCAGGGACGGCGAGGTCTAATCTGAATCTGCGTGGTGCCTCACTCCGCTGGACCCACCAGCAGCCTTCGAAAGTCGAGGTCTAATCTGAATCTGCGTGGTGCCTCACTCCGCTGGACCCACCAGCAACCCTCGAAAGTGACGACAGTTTCGCAGATCGCAGCCCCCCAGGGATGGCGAGGTCTAATCAGAATCTGCGTGGTGCCTCACTCCGCTGGACCCACCAGCAGCCCTCGAAAGTGGTGACAGTTTCGCAGATCGCAGCCCCCCAGGGATGGCGAGGTCTAATCTGAATCTGCGTGGTGCCTCACTCCGCTGGACCCACCAGCAGCCCTCGAAAGTGGCGACAGTTGCACAGATCGCAGCCCCAAAAAGATGACGTAAAAGGCAAGAGAGAAGAGGAGGAGCGAAGAGAGGAGGAGAAGGGAAGCAAGAGAGGAGGAGCGAAGAGAGGAGAAGGGATGCAAGAGAGAAGAGGAGGAGCGAAGAGAGGCGGAGAAGGGAAGCAAGAGAGGAGAGGAAGAGGGAAGAGAGGAGGAGGAGGCGGGAAGGAAGGAAGGTGGAGACCGCAGTGCTCTATTCAAAACGAGTACCCAACGCGGGAGGGTTGGGAAACAAACAGTGTGATGGAGCGCGCCCTTCTGTTCGGCACGGGTTGCTGCAACGTCCTTTGTAAGAGTTGGCGCTGGCCCGACACCACGTTTGTGGCCGCCTCTTGCGTACATCGTTAGTGGGAGGGGAGGGTGGTGCGGCTGGGGCTGCCAGGAGTGCAGTCACGCCTCGTTCTCAATAGGGCTACGCACGCAGCGGGGAGCGGGGATCAGAGCTTGAAGATTGCGGCGCCGGCGATCGCGCGGCTCGATCTGAGCCTGGGCGGGTCGCGGAAAGGCAAGGTTGGCACAGGAGAGCGGGGGGCGGACCAGGGAGGGAAGAGAGGCGCACTTACGGATGGGATTCAATCTTGCACGATCGAGGCCGCGATCGATTCAAGTTTGAACCATCGCCGCGGTGTCAAAATCTTTGCGCACGCCGACGCCGCGCGAACCTAACATACACATGCGTCTAGAAAACCCGTCAGCAATAATCTTACATTGACTGGCCAGTCAGTGGAAGATCCTGCGCGTGAGAATCTATGGCCAGACCGCGACTACGGCGACGGCGAGGGTGGTGGCGGCGACGACGACGCCAGCGGCGACAGCGCCGGCGGCGACGGCGACGGCGACGGCAGCGACGTCGGCAACGGCAACGGCGCCAGCGACGGCGCCGGCGACGGCGCCAGCGGCGGCGCCAGCGGCGACGACGACGACGACGATGGCGACGCCGACCGTGGCGCTGGGGCAATGGTGGTGGCAGCGGCGATGGCGACGGCGGTGGCAATTGCTGCGACAGCGAGGGCAACGACGGCGGCGACGGCGACAATGGCGACGGCAACGACCGCGGGTGCGACCGCTTTGGCAAGGGCGACGGCAGCGACTGCGAGAGTGTCGATGGCGACCATCACGGTGGCTGCGTCGGTAACGACCACGGCGATGGCGACGTCACAGTTTTGTCTTCCAAAGCTTTTCAACCAGGGTGGGAAAAGGAAGGGGGCAGCTAGAGTTGCGAGCATTGTACTCACACCTCGCTCTCAAGAGGGCTACGCACGCAGCGAGGGTCAAAGCGTGAAGATTGCCCCAGAGATACGCCGATACAAATGCGCCTTGAATTTCCGCTGGCAACATTCTCGCTGACTGTAGAAACGGCCTGTCGGAAGCGAATTGTACGCCCCTGGCACAATTGCTGGACTTGGGAGACTCGACCTGGGAATTTGAGAACGTTCCGATGCCAGTGCCGCATTTCCTCGACCTGGGAATTAGAAAACGTTCCGATGCCCCTGCCATGTTAGAACGGTGGGGACCCTGTGGTCTTGCCACACTCGTGGGCCTGTGAGAAGCGGACCTGTGAGAACCCATGCCACTGCTCCATTTTCGGGGTTTGGAGGGCCAACGCAATCGAGAGACATTATGTCCGTTCATTCTTGGAGGATACAGATGAACCCGGCGCGAACCCAATTAGGGGAAACTTTCCTATTGCATGGGCGCAGTGCTTGGCATTGCTTGGGGCATTGCTTGGCATTGCTCGAGGAAGCTGGGGAACCCGAGGAACCCGACGAACCCGAGAAACCCGAGGAACCCGACGAACCCGAGAAACCCAGGGAACCCGAAGAACCCGAGCAACCCGAGGAACCCGAGGAACCCGACGAACCCGAGAAACCCAGGGAACCCGAGGAACTCGATGAACCCGAGGAATCCGAGGAACCTCCAGGAAACGGGCAAATGAAGCCCCCGAGGCACCACTTAACCACGTAAGAACCCCTTAGGCAAGCCTAATTGGGGAAACAAGTACACATCTATTTGCTTTTAAGAGTGCTGGCGTCAGGTGCAAACTTGGCGAGGGGAGCAAATGATTTTTCAGTGATCGTTTCAGTGAGGGCAATGGCAGACCATTGTCAAATCCCAAGAGTGACGCGGCAGCGAATCGGCAGAAATCATGCAAGCAAACACGGATGCATGCACAAGAGGACTCAAGCAAGCGATTACATCAGCAATTCTTCAGGCCCATATGAACATGTATTGCAAAACCAATTAAAGCAGCGCGTGTACCACCAGAGAATGAAAGCATTAGGAGGCATGCGAAGTCGAGTGGAAGCACGTCAGCATAAATGGAAATGTGCAAAGAAGGGAAAGCATGATGAGGTACATGGAAGCATGTGCGAGCAAGTAGAAGCAAGTGGAGGCACGGCGCGCACCAACGGCAGCCCCGCATACCGAAACATCAAACCCGCAGAGGCCAGAACAAGTCCCAGTTGGCCAGGGTAGTAACTGGGCTAGCCGAAAACTGTGACGCACCACCTGGACGGCCCAGGGTTAGTCGAAGTTGGGGATGTACCAATCGGGGCAAAAGTGTCGCGCCGCCGTGGCGGGGACTGATGACGCGAGGATCGGGGTTGTTACCGCACCAGCGCCGCGGTTGGTCAAGGAACATGTCCTGAAGGTGTAGGATTGCGGATGGCATTCTCGGCAGCACGTTCACGCTAGTTCTTGCCATTGTCGTTAGCGTTTGTGCACGCTTGGGCTCAAGCCACGTTCAGTTTCGTTGGCTGCCGTGACCGCCCCCCCCCCCCCCCCTGAGAGGGTCGGCTTGTGGGCATGGCATCTACGCTTGATCAGTCCTTGGCTTTGTTGGCGCTGGAGAATGGGTGCACCGAGATCTCGTTGGATGAGTCGAGTGCGTTTGCTGGAGTGTGGGTGTTCTCAATCATGACTGCCATTATGCTCTTCCTGGTGACCTCTTTCCCATACTGCATGTGCACCCAGGAGACGAGGAAGGACGCCCGCGGTGACGCAGAATCGGCGGCAGATCCGCAAGCAACCAAGCAAACAGGGGCCATCGATGCCATTGCAGAAGCTAAACTCGATCCGACGCCAAACCTGAAAGCAGCCAGGCTCCACATGTGGAGGTCCAGCGCAACCGACGCCGAAATGGGAGAACTCAAGTGGCGCTCGGTGTGGTCCACTCCTATTCACGAGTTGACCAAGTGCGGTGGCGGGATCGGAACTGAGCTCTACTTCCGGCTGTTGAGGAGTCTCGGTTTCTGTTTTTGTTTCATGGCAGCGATAACAGCACCGTTAGTTGCTTTTAACACGCAAGGTAATTTCGCACCAGATTCTGGCAACGACCTCGTCAAGACCACAGTTGGCAACATCGGCACAGTGTTTGTCAACAGCACATTGGTGCCATCGCAGCGCTACGTGATTGTGAAATGTCAGGCGATCGCAGTCTCTGCGCTTACCCAATATTTTGGCGCTCTAGATGTGGTGGCCACTGGATTGTTCTTGGCATTCATGTGCTATGTACGTTTCTGGCAAATACCCACGTGCGAGAGCGAAGACAACGAGAAGAACACAACGCCACAGGACTTCACTGTGCGTGTAGATTACCTCCCCCGGAAATTGAGCGAAGGTCACGCAGATTACGAGAAGACATTGGAAACGTTCATACAGGAGCGCGTGCAGGATGCTCGCAAAAAGCGTGATGGGTCGGCACCTGTGAAGGTACATGAGGTGACCTTGGTGCGAGATTATGACCAGAAGTTTTCCGCAGTCTTGAAGTACTCGAAGCTGAAAGAGCAACGCGAGATTGCAGAATTTAAGAAGGATGCAAAGACTGTGGAGAAGCTTACGCCAAAAATAGGAAAGCTCCAAGAAAAGTTGTCGGCTGAATTGAAGGTAGAGGACCTCGCTGTCATCCGCGCTTACGTGATTTTGGATACTGAGCAGGACGTGGAGGACTTGTTGAACAGCTACCGAATGTGGAATTTCGCCTTATTGCGATGCTGTCAGGGCAGAAGGAAGTTCAAAGGCAAGGGCATCAAGATTCAGCGTGCTGCGGAACCTACCGACATCCTTTGGCAAAACCAGGATTTGGAGTGGTATTGGAGGCTCTTGCGAAAGTGCTTGAGCTTTCTTTTCGTCTTCATTCTAATCGCAATCTCTTTGTCTGTCATCTACGGCCTTGGTCAGCTTGCCAGGCAGGAGAGTAATACCATAATTCCCGCGCTTGGGTTCGAAAATTGCGACGCTCACTCGGGCGATTTATCAGATGATCCAGTCTGTAATGCAGTAGACGCCCTCCAGTGGACTCTTGACGAGGCGAAGGCGATGGGTGGCTCAGATCTGGAATGTTGGTGCGCTTCTCAGGGTGTCGCCAGCATCTTGCAGGACAGCAGCCTTCAAGATGCTTGCTCCGCTTGGATAGAGGACACTGGCCGGGCCAGTGGCATCATTGGAATGTCTTCCTTGTCTGTGGTAGTGATCAACGTACTCGTTGAGATGGTCCTGATCGCGATGGCCGCGTTTGAAAGCCCCTTGTCGATGTCGTCGCTGAGGTTGTCCATGATGGTTAAGGTTGCTGCGGCCCAGACGCTCAACACGTCTTTGATCGTCACGATGCTGGATTGGAACGCGCCGAAGTGGATTCAGGACTTGTCTTTGATCATTCCAGTTGGGGGGCAGCTGCTCTTCAGGGGCAAGTTCGGCGATACAGTTCGTGGTTGGTACTCTGTTGTCGGAGCCAGCATACTGTTGAACATGGTATCCAGTTTGCCTCCCGGCAGGTCGCCACCATCCATTTGATTCGTACAGTCAACCCGCATAGTAAGGACGGGCAACCTTCCCACGGGTACCCTTGCATCCTTGCCTCCTCGGTCCATATTTGGTCACTTTCGTTGGCAGCGCCCCGCTCGGAAAACTTCGAAATGGCTTACCAAGGCCCTTGTATCAATATCGTGCGTCCTGATCATACGGGTTGACTGTATCGTTCAGCGCCAAGTTCCCTAATTAAGCAGTGCTTACGCCGAAGGGGTCCTCGCGGAGTCTGTCAAGACTTGGGGCGAAAGTGCACCGCCGACCTCAGAAGGCGGCCAGGCTCCTCGCCTCCTGGTTCCCTGTCCCAGGGTTCTGGTATTGTGAAGATTCGGCGCAAGCGTGCCGTCGATTTCGATGGGCGGCTTGGTTCGTTCGAAGAAGAAACAACGCCATACATAAATTGCGGGCGCTCCGCGCGGATATCTTGGATCTGCGCTGGGCCCCCCCTGGCCGAGTTTCGCGCGCCAGTGAGGAGGGTCCAGAGAGGATCTAAGAGACCAGTGCCGAGCGCCAGAAGTTTATGTGTATGCATGTCTGTCTTCCTATCTTTGGGTTCCAGTTCGGGTCCTTGGTGAGCGTGTCCCGCCGATGTCGGCATTCGGACGTGTTCCACGGCTCCCAGCGTAAAGAGCCCAGAGAGTAGAGGAGGGAGAGGGATTTGGGAGTTCAAGGAGAGCACGAGGAGTAGAAATTATAAAGACGGCAGAGAGGGAATGGAGTCGACACTACAGTGAAGGGTAGACGGCATACTGTACAGAGCAAATGGAAAGGCGAGAGTAGAGAGTAGAGAATCTATAGTAGAAGTTGGTGCCTATATGGTAGAGCGTCAGTAGAGGTGCAAACTGGATGCACTTAGGAACATGAGGAGAGAGACTATCACGCATTCTGGGATGTTCTATAGGGAGCAAAGAGCACATTGAAGAGCCTTCCAGAGCCGCTCTGGTTGGGCCACGCGAGTGCTGGATGTCCTCCCTCGGCGCTCCCTGCTCGAACCGGCTCTGCGCAGATAGCACATACAGTGTACTCCACCACTCGGCCCAGGACTGTCTGTTGCAGAGTGTTTCAAGACAGACATATCGATCGCCTCGCGGAATTCAAAGCTTGCAAGGTTTCGGCCCCATTCAAATTCCGACGGTATCGAGGATGGTTCTGGACTCCTGACGCCTCGAGCATATCCACCAGCTCATGCACTGGGTGTTATCTGGCCCAGCAATCGTCCAGAAAAGAAGCGGCCGGATTATCCACGAAGCAGAGCGGGGAGGCATCGGCAGAGCCAAGGGAGGGAGCAACCCCAGCCAAGACCGATGGAGAAATGGCAGCTACGCGGAATCCTGCGCTTGAGGTCCTGCCTTTCCGCTGCGCATGCTCCTCAGAGTTTCCAAGGAACCTTAAGAACGCTCAGCATGGCGCCCTGAAAGAGCTTCAAGAAGCTCGGAGCCGCGCTCAAACATCATGTTCAGCCCGATCAAAGGCAGCAGCGTGGAATGGAGTTCTCCATGGCAGTGTCCTGGCGGAGCTGGATTGACCACGCCCACATGCAGCTTTCATCGGTAATGAGGGACCGTTCGGGTAGTTGAACCGTTTGTGACGGTGGTGGCGTCATATGCACCGACGTCGGACGTTGGTGCATATGACAATGGTGATGCCGATGCTGATGATGACGGTAAAGGTGCCGTGGGTACGGATGTGGTCGGTGTCTTGACGTTTCGCGTATCCCCACCAGTCCATCCAGCACCGACGCCTTGGCGAATCGCCCCGATCAGGGGAGGTGAGCAGCGTGCAGCGGAACCAAGAGCTTGGAGCCCGTTTCTTTATTGCTTGGGGCATGACGGGCGTCATGGTCCCCGGCCCCCCCCTTTGACGTAACGCTCCCCCCACCAGTGCGCTCCGGACACTGCCCCCCGTGCGCTCCGAGCACTGCCGTTGTGCGCATTGGGATCCGCGTAGGAATCCGCATAGGAGTCTGGTCCGCAGTCGTCGTCGTCGTCGTCGGCGTCGTCGTCGTCGTCGTCGTCGTCGTCGCTCGTGGCTTGTCGCTCGTCGCTCATAGTCGTCGTGCGCGCGGACGCGGCTGAAACCTGTTGTTTATTCTGGGCCGATGACGGCAATCATCTAGGGGGGGATGGAGGGGGTCGATGACGTCACGTTTCGCGCTGGCGGCGTTTGGGAATGCCTAGGAATGACGGAGGACGGGTAGCGCCAGCATGTAGGAAGCGATTTGCACCACGACGCCTGTGTACACCACCGTGCCTGCGTGCGCCACAGCGCCTGTGTACACCACCGCCTATGTACACCACAGCAGCCGCGTGCAACACAGCTTCAGTTTGTGCCACCGTGCCTGCGGGCACAACAGCTCTTGTGCACGCCACAGCGCTTGCGTTCACTACATCAGCCGTGTGCAGCACAGCACCAGTATACACCACAATGCCTGCGTGCGTTGCAGTGCCTGTGTGCACCACGGCGCCTGTGTGCACCGCAGCAACCGTGTGCAACACAGCACCATTGTGGTATATAGAATGTGATACCGAATCCTTGTGACAACATGGAGCGCTCGTGGATTCCACAGAAAACAATGCAAAATAATCCTTATGGACAGCAGAGTGCCGCTGGAATCTACGTGTCCTCCCGAGTCCGCCCGTATCACATTAACTCCTCCCTTTGCGTCCATGAGGTTCTAGCTAAATCGGCCGCCCGAGAACCAAGTGGACCGATTCAATAAACCATTCTGCGGTGCGCGCTGAGATGCGCACGTGCACTGTAGCGCCAACCCGCACGACAGGGGGTAAGGAGGAGGAGGAGGGGGAGGCGGAGATGGAGGAGGAGGAGGAGGAGGAGGAGGAGGAGGAGGGAGGAGGGAAGAACGTCGCATTCGATTATCAGCACTTTCCTGGCGTGGCGTCTAGTTGTCCGCAGCAGATCCTCACGTACATGCTCCTTCTACCTGTCCTATGCACGCACGCATTGTGGTGTACACTACCGCTGCGTTGCGCGCGGATGCTGTGGTGTAGACGCGCGCTGTGGCGTGCACAGGCGCTGCGGTGTACGCAAGCATTGTGGTGTACACAGGCGCAGCGTTGCACATGGTAGCTGCGGCGTGCAATTGTACGCCAGCGCTGTAGTGCACGCAAGCATTGTGGTGTACACAGGCGCTGCGTTGCACACGGTTGTTGCTGTGTGCGCAGGCGCTGTGGTATACACGCGCGCTGTGGTGCACGCGAGCGCTGTGGTGCACACAGGCGCAATGGGCATAATGCCACCTACATGCTGCTCGCGTCGTCGTCGACGTCGTCATCGTGGTCGTCGTGATCATCGTCGTCGTGGTCGTCGTCGTGGTCGTCGTCGTTGTCGTCGTCGTCGCTCGTCGCTCGTCGCGTCGCGCGCGCGGGCGCGGCTGCGGTGCCGGAGCCACACGGCCGGGGGGGGCGTTACGTCATACCCCCCCCTCGCCCCCGCCCCCCATGACGCCCGTCATCGTCGAACATACAAATCGCGCTCTTGGGAAACCGTCAAACCTTGAACATGCCGGAGTCAAACGCCCGTGCGTTCGCAGAGTTGTCGAACGCGGAAGGGTGGAGGAGAAGGATGAGGAGCCCGGGGAGGAAACGGAGGAGGAGCAGGAAGAGAACGATGAGGAGGAGGTGAAGGAGGAACGACGTTGGAGAAGTGGGAAGAACAGGAGGAGGAGGGGGAGGAAGAAGGCGAGCAGAATACGGATGAGCTCGATTGAACACGATCTCATTCAATGTTTGCTTCACCCTGATTGGGAGGAGGGCCCAGAGAAATGGGGGGATGAGGATGAGGAGGAGGAGGAGGAGGAGGAGGACCAGCGTTCCCAAGACGCATGAACGTTGTTGCAAGACGCCCTCCCTCCAAATTCCATCTTCATAGGTTCCTGGAAATGCCTCACTGGAAGACAACCGTCTAAGAATCCTCATTCCCGCTAAGACGCAATTCCTGGCGCACCAGCGCCGCGAGTCAACGCGGCTGTTGTGTCGCCACGTTCGCGCAACCCGCGCGAGAACACCATTTCTGGGACTTCAACTATGCGACTCCTTGCAACTGACGCGAACGTCCAGGCGAATGTGCGCGGCGCTGGAGCGAGAGCCACATGTTGGACAAGAGCCTCTTTTCCGCGCTGAAGTGTTCGCACATTTCTAAGACGAGCGAGCGCGGCGCTGGGGCGAGATGCGACTTTTGAAGACGACCCGCCCTGCAGCCCTGAAACTGTAGAAGTTGCAAGGCGCATGTGCGCAACGCCGAGACAATGATTCGAGCTCTCAAGAGAGAGAGAGAGAGAGAGACAACAAAAATAAAGAAAAGAAAGAGAGAGAGAGAGAGGGAGAGCGATTGAGAGAGAGAACGAGAGAGAGGAAAAGCGAGAGAGAGAGAGAGAGAGAGAGAACGAGCCGCATGTTGAAACCGACCCGTCTCCCATCTGTGCATGGGAGGGCGATCGAATGAGGGGGCAGCGCGGGCCGCAGATACAGCCCTCAAGAGGGCTCTTTGGGGCCCCAGAGGGCGCCGCTGGGGCCCTCGAGGGCCCCCCGCGGAGTCTTTTGGGGTCCAGAGTGGGCCTCGGGGGCCCTGTCGAGCGACGCCCGGCCGCAGGTCGGCCACCACGCCAGCTTGCCAGGCCCCTCCGGCCCACAGGCGAGGGGGGGCAAGTTGTGCCACGTGGGAGGGACCCCCCGCACCCGAGCAGGCGCACTGGATTCTCACATCCCCTCTGCTTTCCCGGCCCCCTTCGCGATGTCTTGGCATTGAGCTGTGGGCATGTCCCTCTGCAGTCGACCCGCATGGCGAGGATGGGCAACCTTCCCAAGGCCACCCTTGCAAGTTTCCCCCTTCGGCCCATCCTTGGCCGCTCCCGCTGGCCGCGCCCCGCTGGCAGAGTGTCGACGTGGCCTTCCAAGGCCCTTGCATCCTTATCGCGCATCCTCACTGTACGGGTTGACTGTGCAGGAGGAGGATAATTCAAGAATAGTTGCTGGGCCTGTTTTCCACCACCGCCACCATGCTAGGAGGGGGAGGGAGTCCTCCTGCTCCTCCTCCTCCTCCTCCTCCTCCTCCTCCTTCTCTTCTTCCCCCTTCTCATCCTCCACCCCCTTCCCCCTTCCAACTCATGGTGGTGGTGGTGGAAAACAGGCCCATCAATAGTGAAAACAGAGTGTCTACGATCTGTCGTGCTCGTTCAGCACCCCCTCTGCTCCCCCCCCTAAAGCTCGGGAGGGACCGCTCGTGCTCCTTGGCCTCCCGCTTTTTTTCACGGGAGGTCGGCGGGCTGAACGCGTGGGTCCCCAACATAGCCAAGATTGGCAAAATGGTACTCGCGGCTCTCAGGCGTAAGTTCTGCGGGCGCCGAGCCACACATCAGCTGGAGCTGTTGGAGCTCTACACGCCCCGCGAGTTCGAGATCAGCACGAACTTCGCCAAGATGTTGGTCACGGTGTATTGCTGCATGATCTATTCCTCGGGGATGCCCGTCTTGTACCTGATCGGAGCGATGTACATGTTTGTCACCTACTGGACTGACAAGGTGGTCCTCCTCTGGGGCTGCAAGCGCCCTCCGTCCTACAACACCAAGATGGCCAAAACGACAGCCAGCCTGATGCTGTACGCCTGTTTCCTGCACTGTTTGGCTGCCGTGATCATGCTTGGGCAGCCTTGCGTATTCCCCTCCGAGCCAGTGGGGGGCTCGATGGCAGGTGTGATTGAAGATCAGGCGTCAGGGGAAGAACAGAGTACTGTCGAGATTGCTTTTCAGCAGATTGGTAAGGAGTCTACTTGGCTGCATTTTGTGATGATGGCTGTTCTAGGATCCTTGTGGTTGCTTTGGCTGGTCACCTGGCTCTTCGCCAGCTCTCTCGGCCCTATAGTGAAGTGCATACACAAATGCCTTTGCAGAGGTAGGAAGGTCGGTCCAGACCAAGTCGCCATCACGTGGGAGTCAGTGAGAGATAGCATTGAGAAAAGGATGCCACCGGCATCTTACAAAATGAGGAGGAACCCTGATTTCGCCAGATTTGCGACAGCCTTCGACGGTACCGACGAGGGTGCGAGTGCCGGGGCGAGCGCCGAAGAATGTGAGGTGGGAAGTGGACGGACCGTTTCATAATCGTTCAGGTCTCGCCAGTGTTTCTGCACGGCACATACGCCCAGCATTTCCAGCTGGTTTTAGCTGGCACTGTGGAAGCGCCAGCTTGTCTGAAGGAGGGCTGGAGAAGCGGAGGCTTCGATGGTGGCCCGGACACACACCGGCAAGATTAGCCCGCTCTGGTGGAGTGAGCCACAGGGTGCCGCATGGGGGCTCCGCTTCTGCCCCCTGGTCTCGTGCCTTCGCGTCGCGCCATGCTGTGCACTGAAGCTGTTGCTGTGAATTACCCGAGGCTGCGTGATGCTTCTGCAGTGCGTGTGTCCTGTGAATCGCGCGGACTCTTCCTGGCCAGACGATCACGTTGCTTTGGTTTCCTTGCCCTTGTTTCAAACCTGTGGGAGCTCGCAGAGATGGGCTCGCTGCCGATTGTTGTCAGAACAAGCTCGGGGAGGGGCAGGAGAGGAGACGAAGAGAGAGGGCGAGAGACGGTCAGCCTTTCTCCCTGCCTGTCTCATGCCCCTCAACCTGCCCGCTCCCAGCTGAAACCCCATTCTCTCGTGGCGTCTCTTTCCCATCTCGTCCTCCCGCGGTCCCTTCTCGAAAAGCGGCTTCTGCCGGAGCCCGAAAAGTCCCTCGGGGACGGCATCGGATGCTTTCGGACCTCCCTGAAATTTCATGGGCACGTGGCAGCACTTTCGAAGCCAACTGGAGATCGCATGGCTCTGAGTGCTTCGACCTGCCTGATCCCCGGCAGGTCCTCCCGAGGCCTCTGTGGCTGTCTCGGACCCTGGTGGAGCCAGCGGGCCCCCCCCTCGGCCGCCCTGTCCGCTCGCCCGCCCCGCCCGTCCAGGTCCCCAGCAGGGAAGGCCACGAGCTGCCCTGCCCCAAATCGGGCCCGTCCCTCTACAGGGGGAAGATTCAGAGATCGTCCAGAAATAGTCCGGGGATTTTTTTTGAGTATTTTTTTACCATTCTGGAATACATTTGGAGTATTTTTTCAGTTTTCGTCGAGAATCCCGCTGAAGGGGGGCGTCAACGATAAAGACGGGCGGTAGATGCTGGAGGGAATCACGGAGAAGGATGAGCGACTTTCCAAGGGTACCCTTGCATGCTTGCCCAGCCGGCCCATCCTTGGCCTTTTTCGTTGGCCAGCCTCGTTCGAAAAACGCTCACGCGGGCGTCCAAGGGCCTTGCATCCTTGCCGCGCATCCTTCTGATGCGGGTCGACTGTACTCCACCAGACAGGGCAGCACCCGAGACTCAGCAGTGGCAGCGGCCGCCATCCGAGGCACGGCTGCTTGGGAGCCGATGCAGACGCCGGGTGCTCCACGCTCTCGGGGCGCGGCGCGGTGCCCCCAGAGACGCCAGGCATCCCGGGCGCGCCTGGTGCAGGGCGCGCCAGGTGCGCCAGGTGCACGCAGCAGCAGACGGCAGGCAATGCAGTGGGGCCCATGCCAAGACACACCCTGCTTGCCTCCAGGGTGCCCTGGGTTCCGATGGTCTTGCGGAAGAGGGCGTGGCGCTCCCACACCAAGAATCAGTGGGCGTCCTGAGAGGTGGGCTTCTAGTGGAAGGTTTCTTGTGGTTGCGCTCCCACTGTATGCCCACACCCTCGCTATTCCAGCCAAAGGCCACTGCGCAGTAGTAGCGCCGGGGTTGTCAGCGTAGCGCGTGGGTCTGCCCCCACAATCATCAGGAGGTGAAACACACGCACACAGACACAATGAATCGACGAATCCCAGGAACATATGGGAAAAGATGGGACGTGGGGGGGAAGGCGAACATTCAGAAACTATGAGAAAATGTTGGGAAATCCTGGGGTTTGTGTGTATATTTTTGTGTGTCTCTGGGCCACTTCAAATCAATTTGCACTAGTGCTCTGCAGGGGTGGTGGGCCATCGCGCAGCGGACAATAGGTTCACAAGCCCGCCGCCCCTTTTCAAGAGCAGTTTGGCACGATGATGTGGTCCCCTCGCATGGTCAAGTGCTTCGTCTCAACCATCACCGTGCACTCTTTTTTCGCAGGAATGGGGGGGGGATGTTGGCCTGGTCGGTGGTCGCTCGAGCGGAAGGGGCGGGGATTCGCCAGGAGAATCGATGCACCCGCCCTCGAAGGGGGAAGAGTGGTGGGTGGAATGGATGCCTCGCTGAACCATGTTCGCCCAGAGTGCCAGTGGGTTTTACTCTTGAACTCGGCCTCGACCTGCCCCGACAAAAGGGCCAAGGCCTGGCCCTAGGCCGAGGCCTGCGGCCGATCCCCAAACCCCAAAGGCGTCGCGGGCCCCCGCGGGCCTCACTGCGCCCCGCCCGATTGGCAGCAGAAGGAGGAGAGGAAGCAGAAGAAGGCGAGGAATAACGCAACGACACACGCGCGCCCCGAGCCAGCCCATACATGCTCGACATGAGTCCAGCCTGGACCGATCAAATCGTATTCATGTATGTCTGGTACGTGCAGCTTTTGACCTGTTGAAACTTCACAAGAAGCGCAAGGACTGGTAGACTGAAAAGTGTTGATCCATAGTCCTGTGTTTTTCTGTTGACTGTGATCCCAGGCTATCCTTTCCTCGCCCGATGTCTTTGTGCGTGTGTGTGTGTGTGTGTGTGCGTTTGGGAGTTTTGCGCCGTTGTTGTACCCCGCATCGTTGGGAAGTTCCTTCGCCAACTCTTGTCCCCAGCCGTCACCACCTCGCCCGCTGCCTCTGGGGTTTGAGAGTTCCTTTGCCCGATCTTGTCCGTAGCTGACCCCGCCTCGCCCACTGTATTTGGGTGTTGGTGCTTCTTTCCGCCATCTGCTTCTCCTAGCTGCCCCCGCCTCGCTCCTGATTCCACGGTGCCAGGAACTTGTTCGGTGAGTATTGTCCTCGGCTGTCCTCGCTTCGCTTTTTGTGTTGAGGTTGTTTGAGTTGTCTTCGCGGTCAGCCATTTGGGCAATCCCCACCCCGCCCGACGTTTTGGTTCGCCGTCTGTCCCCGATTGCCTCCACCTACTTGGCCCGTTGCCCCTGGGTGTTGGGGTTGTTTCCCCACCTCGCCTGCTGTCCCGCCCCCTCCCTGCCCTTGGGGTGTCTGGCATGGTGTCTTCGCCGCCTGCTGTCCTTGGATGTCCCCGCTCTCGGGTGTCCGAAGGGGGCGGCGGGGGAATGGCTGCGAAACATGTTGCACGCAGTTGGTTTCAGCCGCACCCCTGCATGGTCCTCCTCCTCCTCCTCCTCCTCCTCCTCCTCCTCCTCCTCCTCTTCCTCCTCCTCCTCCTCCTCCTCCTCCTCCTCCTCCTCCTCCCTCGTTTCTCGACACGTGGTCGCGCCCAGTTCACCGAGGCGCCTGGCAAACCAGCCGCACGCCGCCGATTCGCGAGGCCCGCCGTGGCTCCCTCTTCCTTCACCCCTGGGCTTCGCCCGATGCCGCAGAGGCCCGAGTCACAGTCGATCCCCCAAGGAAGATAACAGTGGCGGCGCGCACCAAGAGGCCATGTGCTTTCCGTCGGGGTATCCTGGGTTTCTTCGCTCCGCCCGCTGCGCGGTGACTTCCCGCCGCCGCTGAAGAAGCTGCTGCGTTCAGGGCGCTCCCGGATTCCCCTCAGGCGCACCTCGCGCGCGGGTTTTCAGGGTTGGGTTTCTTGCGAGGGTTTCGTGCGGCCGCGCCCTCGCTGTATGGGAGAATATGGGAAGTGGGGGGGGGAAGACGAACCCCCCGAAAGTGTGGGAAAGACATTGGGAATCCTGGGATCTGTGTCTGTTTATGTGTGTGTGTGTGTCCCTGGGCTCCTTCATTCCTGGGTGTTGGGCCTTTTGAAGTTGATGCGGCTGTCTTTGGCTGGGCCCAGCTTTGACCATGGCTGCCTGGCAGTTGAACTCGAAAAGGAAAAAGCGGCATAAACATACACTGTCAGTGCTCCGCGCGGATTTCTTGGATCGGGGAGTCGGGAGTTGTCTTGGCCGGCTCTTGTCCCTGGCTGTCCCCGCCTCGTCCGCTGCACGTGGGCTCTGGGAGTTCCTTAACCGGCCCTGGCCGTTCTTGAAATCCCACGTCTGCTTCTGAAGAGTAGCACGTGTTGATCAACCTGTTTGTTGCGCCCTGGTGTCTCCCTCGGCGCTCGCACGCTTTTTTGCCCGACGAAGTCTTCCAGCTCAAATTGGGTTGTGGACCTTCCGGATTACAACAACAAGATGGTCCGACCTTCAAGTTCGTATGCCGCTCAACACGTATACCCTGAAGCCCTCAACACCCCGCTTCTTGGTCTTGGACCGTCCCCCCTTTTGGGGCATATCTTCTGTGCCTGTCACGTGTGGTCGGTGCGGCCTCTGAAGTAGGAAGGGGAGGGGGACAGGAAGCGTGAGAGCGGGGAAGGAGGGAGGAAACGGGAGGGGAGGGGGGCAAGAGGGAGAGATGGGAGGATCGAGGGCGGAAAAGACGGGGCAGGAGGGGGGACAGGCGAAACGGGAGGACTGGAAGGTGGGCCCCGAGGGGCCCGGCGGGCGGGCGGGCCCAACGGGCGAGTCGGGCGGACGGGCCCTCATGGGCGGGTTCGGCGGAGGGACTCCGGAAAAAAAACAAGAAAACAGACACCAGAAGCAACCGAACCCACCCAGAACAAGCGACAAGAACGAACGAATAAACACCAAGAAAAACACAGACGGGCCGTTAAACACAGCGAGAGCCACAGAAGCACGAACACAGAAAAGCAGCCCGTTGTTTGGGAGGCCTCCTGCTTTTGTCACTAGCCCAAAACATACCCAGACCCGGGGTCAGCTGGGGTGAAAAGGGCCGCCCGTTAGAGCGTTTTCGGCCTTGCCGCCACCTCGTCTGGGTACGGGTCGGTGCCCGAAACAACCATACATACCCGGACCTAGCTGGGGTGGTGGTTGGGTCACCCCGTCTAGGTACGGGTATGTATGGTGGTTTCGGGAGCCGACCCGGACCCAGGGGGGGTGATGCCCCGAGGGCCCCTTGCCACCCCGTCTGGGTAAGGGTACGGGTATCTTTCGCGCTCGAGATTTTGGTCTGTGGGCGGGCCGCGGAAGCAGACGGGGGAAGCGCCGGGGAGCGCCGGGGAGCGCTCCGAAGCCCGGGAGCGCCTGGGAACGCCCGGGAGCGCCCGATCGGCGCGGGCCCTCGCACCCCCCTCCCCCCCCCCCTCGTCCGCCACAACAAAAAAAGGCAGCCATATCGTGTTTCTCTCTCTTGTTTTGCCGATCGGCGCGGGCCCTCGCAGCCCCCCCCCTTTCCCCCCACCCCCGTGGAGTAGATCGTGGCTGTTTGGGGCGCCTGCCTGTTTTCAGGCAAGTGGGGCCTCTTCCCCCAAATGACTCCCAACTGCAAGGGGGCGATCCTTGAAAGCATGGTGCGGAAGTCACGGGCACCAGCGCGATCCTTGAATTCACTGTTAGGAAGTATCAGGTGGCAGCCATTGCTGTTTTTGTTGTCGGCTGCCAAAAACACAGTTTGAGCAATCATATCTTCCCTGATCAAAAAAGTCTGAATCGCAGGAGGGCATGTCAAGTGGAAGAACACACTGGTACATGTGCGGGGCGACCAAACATATTCATTTTTCAAGCATGAGAGTTGTGAATGTATAGCGATACGTGTGCCC